ATTCTCTATCTAGGTGAGAAAAGGGTTTCAGAAGCGGGGTCACGAATCGGCAACCGGAGTCCTCTATATCAATAGAAGGAGTGGGGCTAGAAGAATCTCAGAGACAGATAGCTGAGTAATACACCAACAAAATATTCAAGACGAGATCATCAGGATAAAACCAGAAATGAAAGCCACATCGGGAACTGGAGGCGGAGGCAGCATCTGGAGTGATGGATCCACAAACCTGGCCAACGTCATCAGAGGACTCCCCAAGTTCGATGGAACGAAACCAGAGGAGTTCAACGACTGGATGAAGAAATTGGGGGTGGTCGTCGGCGTTACTCGGAGAGACATCACGCCACTTCTCAAGGAAATGCGTAGGCCTGATCCCTCGGACACCACCTTCGCCGCATACGAGAGAGCAAACGAAGACCTCTACGCAATCCTATTCTGCCTCGTCGAACTGCCGGCTGCACTAACCGTACACAAGCACGAAGACGACACCGGCCTTAGCGGCGACGGGCAGGCAGCATTCGCGGAACTGAAGGCCAACTACAATCGAGTGACAGATGAAGTGATCAGGGCTAAACTGGACGACCTGGAAAGGACGGTCATGGAGCCAGGAGAGAACCCGGACGATTTTTTCAACAAGAAACACCGCCTCCGCTCTCAACTAGAGAAAATGGGGGAAACCATTTCCGATCGCCGCTTCAAGGATATCTGTGTGCAGNAGGCCTGATCCCTCGGACACCACCTTCGCCGCATACGAGAGAGCAAACGAGGACCGCTACGCAATCCTATTCTGCCTCGTCGAACTACCGGCTGCGCTAACCTTACACAAGCACGAAGACGACACCGGCCTTAGCGGCGACGGACAGGCAGCATTGGCGGAACTGAAGGCCAACTACAATCGAGTGACAGATGAAGAAGTGATCAGGGCTAAACTGGACGCCCTGGAAAGGACGGCCATAGAGCCAGGAGAGAACCCGGACGATTTTTTCAACAAGAAACACCGCCTCCGCTCTCAACTAGAGAAAATGGGGGAAACCATCTCCGATCGCCGCTTCAAGGACATCTGTGTGCAAGGTTTCTCCGAGGACTACAAGGACATCAAGATGATGGTTTTCCGCGACCCATCATTCGACGTACAACAGATGCAAGCCACCATGCGCAACATCTTCCTTGACGAGCAAATGCGCAAGAGAACCAAGGGCCAAATCGCTGGCCGCGGATTCGCCATGGCTACCAAGACATCTGGCCCCATCTGCTTCGAGTGCAACGAACCGGGACATGTCAGGAGGAACTGTCCCAATCGCCAGCGGGAGGGCCATAGGGCAAAGAAGACGAAGCCTGCGGGAGCAACCAAGTGGTGCTCCGTCCATAACACCACTACACACTCCGACGAAGAGTGTTACAACCAAGGAGCCAAGCGACCAGAACGCACGGGCAATGCCTTCTCCGCATGCACACACTGCATGCACTGCTCAACCCAGTCAGGAGACACACACGCCAAGCCTACCACAACGGAAACTCCCAAAGACCGAGAAGGCAGAGTTCGACTTCGCTTTCGACGAACACGCATTCAAGGGTGGATCCATGTACTATGCTACATGCAGTAAGGTAAGCGAACGCACTTTCACGACAACTGCAACTGGGACTTCCGCGCTGGTGGATTCTGGAGCTTCTGAAACCATGTTCGACGACCGCCTCATCCCGAATGGACGTCTCGAAGAAGAACGCCCGACGCCCAAGATCATCGACGTTGCAGGAGAAAGTCAACTACAAGGCACTACCACTGGGATCCTACACTGTACCATCAAAAACGACAAAGAACAGCAACTACCCGTCAAACTACAAGGTCTCATCGTGCCAGGACTAGGCCGGAACATCTTCGCACCAACGGCCCTTCTCAAGAAGGGCCTCCGATGTGTCCTGGAAGACAAGACCCCACACCTCACCATTGGCGGAGAAGTCGTCGTTCCTCTGAAACAAGAGACTCAAGACCAAGGCATGTGCACCCTCGCCATCACATTCAAGGGCGATCCAGCGTCGACAAGCAAGACACCCCCGAACAACCAAGAACCAGGGCGCAAGCCGAAGTTCGGAAAACCAGAAGCGGTACAGATCGATCACATTCCGCTCGCGACATGCTCAGTGGCGATAAGCGTGAGCGCCGACCTCTGGCACCGGCGCCTCGGCCACATCAATCCACGTGCTATGGAGATTTTGCGGCGCAACCCCGCCACAGGTGTGAAATATGACGGACCTGTATCCCCGTGCGACAACTGCCAAATCACGAAGCACAAGAAGGCTCCCGTCCCGAAGAAGACCAGCCGTGTCCTGACCAAACCAGGCCAACTCGTCCAGTTCGACAACATGGGACCAATCGACCCGCCTGCGAAGTACAACGGACGCACCTACTCCTACGTCACCAAAGCGACCGACGTCTTTACCAGAATGCGGCAAGTGTACCTACTGCGCGATAGGACCTAAACCACGCAAGCTCTGCACGCCTACAACATGCAAGTAGCATCTGAAGGCTACCGCATCGAGGTTCTACGTTGTGACAAAGGCGGAGAGAACACTGGGGAAGAAATGCGCAACTACTGTAGGGAGTCTGCGATCAAGCTGGAATTCGCCGCGACCAACACGCCCCAAGAAATCGGAGTGTCAGAAAAGGATGACCAGACACCTGCGGCTGTGACTCGAGCTCTACTGCGCGATGGAGACTTCCCAAAAC